TTTATTTATTAGAGAGAGAGAGAGCGCGTGCGCGACTAGCAGGGGGAGGCACAGAGGGAGAGAGATCAGGGAAGCCGACTTCCCACTGAACAGGGAGCCCGACTTGGGGCTCCATCTCAGGACGCTGAGATCATGACCTGAGCTGAAGCCACGAGTTGGATGCTTAACTGACTGAGCCACCCAGGTGCCCAGAGAACTTTTAAAGAAGTTTACAATAGTCTCAGAATAAAGTAAAAAACCCTATGTTCTGGACACTCGAGGAGCCTCCCATCTGGTCCCACCTGTCCACGGCAGGGGCCCCTCTCTCCTCTTCCCTTGGACTAGCCCCTGCGCCAGTCATGACTCATCTCCCTTGCCTTTGTTCATACTGACACCTTTACTTGGCGTGCCCTCTCTAGGCCTACCTACCCAGCATTGAAGTAAGGGTTGCCATGTGCATCCGATGGAATATTATCTTTTGAAAATCCTTACAATTGGTAATTCTTCCAATAAAGTAGTTGTTAGGGCTGTCGGATGAGGTAGGGAATGCCTTTGGCATGATACCTGGCAGGTGGCATGAGGTCCATGAATGGTGGCTATCCCTGGATCTTCATCGAATAGGCTTCTTCTCGCCAATCAGATCTCCAAGTGTCATCTCCCAGACTGCCTTCCTAGGTGGCACCCCCACTCCCGTCACTTTAATCCCTCATCCTATTTTATCTTAATGCTTATCCTTTCTGAATCATCTTATGTACTGCCTTTCTCCCTCTAGCGGGAGAACATAGCTTCTGCAAGGGCAGGAATCTTGACTACCTGGTATACTGATACATCCCCAACACCTGCAACAGCGCCTAACACACAGCTGGAGCTCCATATATTCACTTACCCTTTCAAAATCAACTTTACTGGGGCGCCTGGGTGGCTCAGTCCGTTCAACATCCGACTTCGGCTCCGTTCATGATCCTAAGTCGGACTCCCTGCTCAGCAGGGAGTCTGCTTCTCCCTCTCCCTCTCCCCCTCCTCTATGCTTGTGCTCTCTCTCAAATAAGTAAATAAAACCTTTAAAGAAAATAAATTTTATTGAAGTATAATTTACAGGCCACAAAATGCATCCATTTAAAGTTTTATAGTTTGGTGAGTTTTTTTGTTTTTGTTTTGTTCTGTTTTTAAGTTCTACTGAATCCAGTTGATTTCTTTTTTTTTTTTAAGTAAGCTCTACGCCCATCGTGAGGCTTGAACTCAGGACCCCAAGATTAAGAGTCACACAGTCTACCGACTGAGCCAGCCAGGCGCCCCTAGTTTGGTGAGGTCTGACAAACGTGTACTCCTACATTACCAGCACCCCAGTCAAGGCATAGACCATTTCCAACCTCCCTCAAAATTCCCCTCTGACTTTTTTTTGCAGTCAATTCCCCTCCACTCCACCCCTAGGTAAAATGTGTGTGTGTGTGTGTGTGTGTGTGTGTGTGTGAACTGAATGCATTTTGAATTGGGACTGGCCCCAAGGTCGGGGGGGAGCTATTCACATGTGCACACAGCATTCTATAGTTTACAATGCCTTTCTACTTTCATGATCTCATTTGCTTTTCACATACGAGGCCATGGATGCTCAGACAGACTAGGTGACATGTGACAGAGGGTCTCCAAAGCCAAGAAGTGGGGGGCAGGGCTGGGCTAGGGGCCTGGCATCCTGGGCCGTTTGTGGGTACTCCAGGCTGACAGGCCCAGGTGTACCATAAAGGCTGGCAAAAGGCTGCTTGTGGTCCCCACCTCTGTCCCAACTGGCCCAGGCGTCCAGTCTGACTAAGATGCCCTGGGGTGTCCAGATGCCGGCTGTACACCCAGGGCAAGCAAGCCTTTCCAGTCCCTATAGTTTGGGCTGTGGGGAAAAATGAAACGAGGCTAGCAGCCTCTCATTTCTGATTACTTCTGTCTGGTTGCTCAAAGAGAACAGACAGACACTGGGTGTCAGGAGACTTGACTTCTGGCTGGGTTCTGCCTCTGCCTTGCTGTGTTACTTTGGCAAGTCACTTTCCTTCTCTGGGCCTCAGTCTCCATCTCTGTAGAGGAAACAAGTCATCCCTGCCAGCTTGACTTCAACTCCACCTGATGACTCTGTTGCGTGAATCTGTCCTGCTCTTCAAAGACTGGCCTATGCCTGTGCTCTCTCCACTCCCTGAAATGCTGTTCTCCAATGTCTGCTGTCAAAATTCTGGTTTTTCTACTTGTAGTTCAGGTGCTCATCCCTCTGTGATTTTCCTCAAAATGGAATGTTCTGCTCCTTTCTCTAGTTTCTATATGCTCTTGAGGGCAGGGACTGTGATTAACAATGAGAGAATGGTGGGTTCTATTTATTGAGATGACCAATCTTGTGCCAGGCACTGTGCCGGTCACTTTGTTATGTGCTTTAATCCTCACAACAAAGTGTCATTATTCTCATTTGACAGATAAGGAAACTGAGGTTCAGAATAATGCCACTTGTCCTGGGTCACAGAGCCAGTAGAACGGCTTGGGCAACTTCTCTTTCCCCAACCCCAGCATTTTTTTTTTTTTTTTAAGTTTTCTTTAAGTACTCTACACCCCAGGTGGGGCTCAAACTCAGGACCCAGGATTAAGAGTCCTCCGCTGGTGGGACTGAGCCAGCCAGCCACCCACCCTGCCCCCACCCCCGCATCTTGCAGAGGGCCTAGCAAGCAGGTATTTATCACCTGTATGCTGAATGACCAGTAAGCCACGGACTGCCTGAATCAGCGCCAGTATCACATTAATCAGCTTCAAACCTACCTCTGGTAGTGTGGACAGGACTGAAGTACCTGTGCTCAGGAATGCTAACTTTTATTACCACCATTCTTTGCCTTTGTCACACCCACAGTGAGAACTGCCCAGTCATAGGGTGGGATACATGCGTGGTGAGTACTCGGTCACCAGGGTAAGCAAGCAGAAACTGGATGACCTTTCGGATGCAGTAAGGGGAAGTCTGAGCATCAGCAGCCAAGGAAGGCCTCCACCACCCCCATCCATGATTTTGGGGATCCCAGTTGGTAACCTGTTTCCCCTCCTGGCTTGGGAGGTGGCGAGGGTAGGATTGGAATACATTCCTGTGGTACCAGGACCCACCCATGCTCAGCCCCGCAGGCCCGGTTGATACCCACAGACCATGAAGGCCCGTGGGTTTTGAACCTTTTACAAACTGGAAAGTTCTATTGTTTATTCCATTCCTGACCTGCCCTGTCCCACAAGCCACCTCCCGAGTGAACTCCCCATATGCTGGGCCTGAGGAATGTCCGCCTGGCCCTGGCACCAGGGGTGCCTTCTGGGCCTTCGAGCCCTCCTTGCCACCTCCCCTTTCCCTGCACTATTGTGCAAGACAGGCGGGCACACCTCTGGGGCAGGTCGGATCAAGGCCAGGAACTTCCTGAGAGCGGGAGGCGGCGGGCGGGGCGGGAGGAGTGCGGTGCGAACGCCGAGTTCCCGCACTTCAGCCTCGGCGTCCCCTACCAGTTCCCCACGACCTGCTCGGCGTGATTCTCTTCCCGCGCGGAGAGGGGAGGAGGTGACCCTAGGCTGGAGCCCCCCAGGGCACTCCCCGCTCTTTGAGATGCCCCCACCAGCCCCATCTCTTTCTTCGGTTCGGTCTGGGTCCGGTGCGCCCCTCAGTGCATCACTCCTCGCTCTCCCTCTCTCCGACTGGTCTTTGTCCGCGTCTCGCCCGCAGTCTCGGCGTCCCCGGCGCCCCCCTGCCCTCCCGCCCGCGGCCGC